GGAGCAGTGGCCAGGATAGGAAAGATCTGCTCCATCATCTGGCTGGGGATGGAACTCAGGCCACTGCAGTGATAGCAACAGACTTAAACCCCTAGGCCATCAGGGAGGCCCAGACAGAACATCTTTAAAGGAGCAACAGACTGGTGGCTGAGCTCTCAGCAAGAGTGGTTGCTAGAGAACAATGGAATTGTAAAATTCCAAAGCCCTACAATTTAAAATTCTATAGTGGAAAATATTCAGTAAGAATAAACAATGTGAGAACATTTTCAGACAAAATCAGTTAGACTTCATCAGAAAACTGCATAAAGGAAAGTCCAAAGGATGTCTCTCAGGCAGAAAAAATATAACTCCAGCAGAAGTTTTGAGGTGTTAGAAGACATGGGGCCACATAGGAGCAAATAAACAAATGACTAGAAAAACCAAAACAATGTCTTTTGGATTTAAAAAATATATAGTTTAAGTTCATTAAAACACAGCATAGATGTGAGGATGTACTAAATGTATTAAATATCTGAAGGTTCTTATATTTTCTTGAAAAGCATTAGACTTTGCATAAGTTAAAGTTGCACAATAGAATACCAAGGTAACCACTCAAAGGATAGAAAGAGCATAATAAACTCCTGGAAAAGAAAAAAAAATGATAACAAAAAAAATTCTTTCAAAAAGGAAGATAAAAATAGGGGCAGACAAAAAAATCAAGAGTCCAAAAATAAGAGTAGAGTTGTGTGTCAGATGGAGTATACATTAAAAATGGAGTAGATATTAACTCAAAAACATTAGAAAAGGAGGGATACTTTATACTGATAAAAGTCTCAATTTTCTAGTAAGATAAAAATTCTAGTTTTTATGGGTACAGTGAGATATAAACACATATTGAGAGGTAAAGCTGTACTCCCAAAGTTATATACCATTGTAAACCCATGACAAACCAACAAAATTTTACTTAAAAAAGAATTCTCACTTTTATGCACATGTCCCAAAATATATAAAGCAAAAACTGAAAGAATATGAGTAAAAAGTAGATAATTTAGAGTACGAGGTATAAAATACACTTTTCTCAGTAACAAGTAGGCAAGACCAAGAAAAGTCAAATCTATAAAAAAATGTAAACAGCATGACTAAAAAACATGACCTACTGGCACATTCAGTTCTGTATCCAACAAATGCAGAATAAGCCCACGTGAACCATTTTTTAAAATTTGCCAAGTGCTTTACTACAAAGTAAATCTTAAATTTCAAAGCACTAAAGTCATACAGACCTGCTCTCTCCCAAATGGCAGCTATTAGGAATATGCCACCATCTAAATTCATTAAGGTTAAATAAAATCCGGTTCCTTAGCTGGAGCAGCCACATTTCAAATCTCAGCAGCCACATAGAAGCTATTGTATTGGGCAATATACATATAGAAAATTTCCATTACTGAAATAAATTCTACTGGACAGCACTGATATAAAGTATCTAACCATAATGCAATTACGGCAGAAATCAACAATAAAAGGATAACTGGCCCTCCCTGGTGGCGCAGCGGGTTAAAGCACAGCACTGAGAATCTAAAGCTGCTTCCGCATGAGTTTAATTCCGGCCTGCCCCGGAGGTGACCACATGGTGTGGCAGACCTCTCCTGACCCGCCCGCTGCTCCCCTCAGCAGTGTACTTCCCTCAATCTGCCTGTTCTGTTCCCCACTCTGTCTCTGGTGAAGCCTCTCACTGCCCCTGAGCCTCTGGCCTGTACCCCAGTTCTGTATGCACAAATAAATAAATCTTTAAAAAAAAAAAAGGATAACTATAAAATTCACCATATGTAAACGGAGGATAATGCTCATAGATTAGTCAACCCTTCAAGTATAAATATTTTTTATACTTTCACACTTTTTAAAATATTTCAACACATACAACCGACACAAGGCTTGTAGCCAGAAATATTACAAATTTCTGAAGTCAATGATAATTCCAAACATACTATAGTAGCAATTTTCTCCAAATTTATAGATTTAACCCACACTAAGCAAAATCTTTTTAAAATATGACACATTGTGCCAAAATTGATATAAAAGTGTAAACAGGCAAAAAATAGCCAGCCCCTCTTATAAAAGAACAAGAAGGCAGGAGGAGTTGAAGACTTAGACGATCTTCTTTAGGAGTACTCTCAAATACCACAGCTGTCTTTGCTACAGGGACATGCCAGGCTGTATTTTCCTACTTCTCAAAGAGTTGAGTGTCGCCATGTGATTTTTGGGTCACTGACTAATGAACAGAAGTGTCACTTCAGGACAGAAACCCTAGGAGTCAGAACATATTTTACTGCATTCCTTTTTTCCCTTACATATCCATACTCCAAATGATAAAAGCCCCATTGATCTAAATCCCGAAGTGAGAACACATAGAATAAAGCCCAAGCCAATCCATGCAATTTGAGGGAGAAATAAACTTTCACTACTTAAGTCCACAGTCCATTGGACATTATTTGTCACCACAGTATTACCTAGAATAAAGGAAAGCATCCCTAAACATATTTGATTACAACAGAGGTGGTACTGAAACACAAAAGAATGACTTTCAAAATATACTGGTGGGAATATTGATCAGCCACAAAGAAAATTCATATCATAATATAAAAATAAATTGTAGGTGGATTTTAGACCTATTATGAAAGGCAACAATGATTCAACTTTAGAAGATGATACAGAAGAGTATCTTCATAACCAGTAGATACGGAAAACTTTCTACATAAGGCCACAAAACGCTAACAATGAAGTAAAAGATTGATTTATTTGAAACAATAAATTATGAATTGTTATCAAAACATATCATAAAGGGAGTAAAAAGATAAGCCATGGAATGGAATATTTCAACACATATAATCAACATGAAGCTTGTAGCCAGAAAATATTCCAAATGTCTGAAGTTAATTGGTAATTCCAAAAGGTTATCACAATAACCAAAAAACACTCCAATAGAAAAACAAGCAAAAGACTAGAATGGGGGTTTCATAAAATGGCTTATCCAAATGGTCAATATACAGGGAAATGTGTATTAAAATCACAATAACCATCAAACATGAAGATGAACCATGACAACATGAAGAACCTCAATAAAGTAATAATAAACAAAATACAAATTAAAGAGAGAACATACATGAATACACACTGCAGGGAGAGAAACAGGAGCAGAGAAACCTGTTTGGAATTTACAGCAATAACTCAGATGAGAGATGGTGCTTGGACCAAGTGGTAGTAGTAAAGATGGGAAAAGGTGGTTAGATGTGGGGCATATTTTGTAGTTAGAAATGACAGAATTTGACTGGATGTGACTTGTGAGAAAAAGAACAAAGCTAAAGGTGATGACACCTAGAAGTTTTTGGCCAGAAGAATGGTGAATGATGGACACCATTTAAAAGCATGAAGGTGAATGGGAGTGAGGGGACTACAAGGAGGAAGAACATGTTTCAGAGGTAAAATCAGCTCTTTTGATGCTCCCACCTTACACTGCACTTAACAGTGAAAGTGCCGTGGGCCCAGCGTGCCCACCTCCCTGGCATCCCAATTGATTCCCATGTTGAAGCTCTCACTCTCAATGTGATGGTATTTGGAGAAAGGGCTATCTGCAGGGGGGTAACTGGATTTAGGTGAGGCCACAAGGGTTAGGTCTTCATGATGAAATGAGTATCTTTAAAAGGAGAAACCAAAGAGCCTGCTTTTACTCTCTTCCATGGCTTTCTGTAGACCTGACCATCCTGGGACACTGATCGCAGGCTTCCAGCCTCCACAGTTGCGAGAAATAAATGTCTGCTGTTTAAGCCACCCAGTCTATGGTATTGTTTTTTAGTGGCAGTCTGAGCTGCCTCGCACATAAAGAGGACGGTAAAAGAGACGCACACTGCCTACTCCAACCTTGTGAGAAATCACCTCAGTTCCTTTGTCTTTTGATCAGTACTTCAGGCTGGGTCAAAAGGCTAGTGACAACCGAGGTAAATTGCTGTCTATGCACATAGGAAACACACATGAATATGTTCATTATCATATCACTTGCAGAGGGGAAAAAAAGGAGCCAAAGTAAAATCCTATTAACAAGAAAATAGAGTAAAAAAAAAAATTACAGCATGTTCAAATAAATCATGGTATATAGGTACTACAGAGTACTGGTCAACAGTTTAAACTAAATGAACTTAAACTATATAATTTAAAAGGATAAGTCTGAAAAATCTAATGTTGAATAAAAAATAGGCTGCAGAACATACAGTGTGATGCCACTTATGAAAGTTGGAAACATGCAAAATGCTGCTATATGTAACTTCCAAATACATACATATGTAGTAATGATACTGAAACAGGCACAAAAATTTAGTACAGAAGGGGAGAGGTGGAATCATGTAAAGTTTAGAGGGGGCTTCAAAATAAGCAATTCTTTAAAAAGGTTTATTTATTTATGCATACGGAACTGGGGTACAGGCCAGAAGTACAGGGGAGGTGAGAGGATTCACCAGAGACAGAGTGGGGAGCAGAACAGGCAGACTGATGAAGTAAACTGCTGAGGGGAGCAGCGGGCGGGTAAGGAGAGGTTTGCCTCGCCCTGTGGATCTCCTCCGGGGTGGGGATCAAACTCAAACTGAGGTGGCTTTAGCTTACTAGTGCTGTGCTTTAACCTACTGCGCCACCAGGGAGGGCCCTCAAAAGAAGCAATTTTAAAGAAAGTAAAATCCTTTAAAAAGCAACAGGAGTTAAGAAGGCAAAAAATTTTGATTTGATAAAACTGGTTTGAAATTTGACAATTTAAATAAATATCAAGAAAAACACTTAGTTGACCAGGGAAATACTCACATTCTCGAAAATCAATTAATTTGGTCATCACCTCATTCTTGAACAGCTGAATGACTTGTTCAACAATCTCTCGATTTTGATTCTGGTCCAAGGCATACAGATATTTCTCCAAAAGAGGAATGTTTTTCAAATTCCAGAGGAAGTTCTCCCGACGAAGACAACTTAACTTCGGATGCTGAAATTTCTTCATCAAAAACAAACAACTTGTAAAATTCCTGAGTAACCACTACTGCGAGACCAGCTGTGTGCCAGGAAAGGGCACCTCCCAGCACAAATAGGTCTGGCAAGGAGAGCTGGCATTCCCTCAGGGACATCACTCTACACAGGGTGCAGCTCTAACTGTATGGGACCTCACAGCTTTGACAGCAAATTTGATCCTCGTAAAATTAAGACAGTGGTATCAATAGGAGACAGCTCTAAAGAATGCTGCCCTCACCCAAGTGATCTGCCCTGGTGCCTGTGACCTCTTGGGTTCCATCTTCTGCATTCTGGCTGACTCTCCTCCAGTCACACTGTTCAGGGATCAGTCAAGCATTTTCCTTCCCATTTGCTGTTTCCTTCTCCTGGGATTCTGGCCCCCAGGAACCCCTATGGGATATCTGATATCTCAATTCCAACAGTTTTTTATTCAAAATTCACCTTTTCTGAGAGGTTCCTGACCACTCTGTCTAAAACTTCTAACCTCTATTCAAGACTTCTCATCCCTCTTCTCTGCTTCTTTTTTATTCTAAGCACATACGGCTGTTTAACAGTCACTGTCATTTACTTATCTACATTACTGTCTATTTGCACCAGACCGTAAGCTCCAAGAGCAACAGGAAATTTGCTTTGATATATTTTGTTCATTTCTACAACCCCACATCCAATTCAGTGTCTACACACAGGAGGCACTGCCAAAGCAGTATTTGCTGGATAAAGGAATGTTCTTAGAACAGAAAATTTGGAGTTGGACATTTTAACCACTTTATGTAAAACTTTAAATAGCTTCAAATGCAAAAATAGGAAAATGGAAGTTTAGAAAGGGACACATAGGATATCGACCATGGGGCCTGTCACCGGCAGAGAGCCAGAGACAGCTTCCACAGAGTCAGCGACAAGAGGTCCCTGAGTGAAATTCACCTGGTAGAGCAGTTTTCAATTTTTTTGACCATTACTCTCAGTATGAAACACATTTTTTTTAATTTTTACATCATTTTGTACATATTTTTTTCAATTGTAATCCCATGGGTTTCCCATCACCAAGTCACCCGTGTGCCATCACCATAGTCCCATGCACTTCCCTTCCCACCCCATCCCCCTGTTTTTGATCCCATTCCCCGCTCCACCCCCACAAAATGTCTCTGGTATATGGTTGTTCATTATTTTTGTTATTTTCTCGCCTGGTCCATTATACTCCTGCTATGAGCGAAACCACCCGGTATTTTTCTTTCTCTTTCTGGCTTATCTCACTAAGCATGATCTTTTCCAGCTCCATCCAAGTTGCTGTGAAACACATTTTTTAAAGATTTATTTATTTATTCATACAGAACTGGGGTACAAGCCAGAGGTGAAGGGGCAGTGAGAGGCTTCACCAGAGACAGAGCTGGGAGCAGAACAGGCTGACTGATAAAGTACACTGCTGAGGGGAGCAGCGGGCGGGTCAGGAGAGGTCTGCTGTGCCATGTGCGTCACCTCTGGGGCCAGGATTGAACTGTCACTGAAGTGGCTGCGGCCAGCTTGCAGTGCTGCATTCTAACCTGTTGCACCACCAGGGATGGCCATGAAACACATTTTGCACCACAAATCACTAAAGAGGCAACACATACATATAAAGAAAAAAGTCTTAAGGAGCAATATGTGTGTGTGTGTGTGTACACATATGTATATGCATATATATATATATTTGTATTCTGGCAAATGTGTTTGAAAAGTGTTCTTCTATATTGACTTCAATAGCCTCATGACCTGGTGTTTGGAAAACTTCCCTGATACTTGTGCTATCACGGCCATATCCTTTCTAAGTGGTCATGTGGCCTTGATTTGAATACTTGTAGGAGATGCTTTTCATGGAGATGGCTCTATATCCTTTCTCATGCTGAACCAAAATGTGCTTTTTCAAATAGTGTCCATGCCAACTATCACCTCTGGGCCCATTTGGAACAGGATTAGTCCTTCTTCTACAATACTGTCCTCTAGATATTTGAAGACAGGAAACTGGCCCCACAGAGTCTTGTAGAGATTAAACCTTTCCAGTTCTTTCAGTTACTCCTAACATGACATGGCTTTGGGCCTTTTCACTAGCTAATGTGCTAAATGCCATTGTGGATAATAAAAATTCCCACAGGCATTGAAAACAATGTTAAAGAGTGGAAGCTTTGGAGGGTGGGATTGGGACTAAAGATGAAGGTAAGTGGAAACAGTGGAGAAAAAAAACCGTTCAATCTATGGGCCCTCCCTGGTGGCGCAGCGGGTTAAAGCACAGCACTGAGAATCTAAAGCCGCTTCTGCATGAGTTCGATCCCCGCCTGCCCCGGAGAAGATCCACATGGTGTGGCAGACCTCTCCTGACCGGCCCGCTGCTCCCCTCAGCAGTGTACTTTGTCAATCTGCCTGTTCTGTTCCCCACTCTGTCTCTGGTGAAGCCTCTCACCGTCCCTGAGCCCCTCGCTCCATGTCTCTTCATAATGTTTGAAGTTTTTATCCTGTGCACATCTAACTTTTATTTTTAAAGAAAGTGAAATGAAATACTTGTTGGACTTCCATTCAAGCACCAAATCTACTCAGAGAAGAACCCAGACAGCTAACACAGCAGTACTCTTACCCCACATATCCTGCCCAAGTAGGGAGCGATAGGAGAAATACTTAGGATGTGGACTGGAAATCAGATCTGGGTTTTCACTAGCTCCACCATTTCATAGTTCAGATCTTAGGAGTAAAATCAGAATATAAATACCAATCTCAGTCATGTGTAGATAAACTAAGATATGGAATGAAGACTTAATACAAACAGATGCTCAGTAAACATTGCTGAATGTGAATATTGTAGTCAATGCATTTGACTTCTCTGGCCTTTCTATCCTTTTGGCTCCTTAGTACAACAAACTGCATTTGTGATAGTTTAATCACTTCTTCTTATTAGTCTGTCTCTGGCTACCTCTTATCAGCTTCCTCATGCACCTTACATCCTCTTGTACAAACCTCTGACCAGAGACATTTTCCCAAGCCTGACCAGTATTTCTTCTTTCTTACACAGAAAAGAGATTTTCAGATTCTGAGCTTAACCTGCAGGCCACCTGTGATCACTAGAAGTAAAATTCCAGTATACAGATTAGTTAGTCACTTCATTTATGACTGTCACACTTGTGGCCATTACCAATTCTAGGGTGCCTGCCTGCTCTGGGCTTCCTGCACAGCTGCTGGAAGTGTCGATAGTGCAGCCATATGCATAGCAGCTCAGCCAATTTCTGCCACACCTACAGGATTAAAATACTGCATCTGTGTAGAATCTTACCATGGACTTTGTGGCTCAAATAAAAATCAAGAACTGGCCTTCCCTGGTGGCACAGCGGGTTAAAGCACAGCACTACAAGCGAGCCACAGCCACTTCAGCATGAGTTCAATCCCCAGCCTTGGAGATGACCCACATGGCACGGCAGACCTTTCTTGACCTGCCCGCTGCTCCCCTCAGCAGTGTACTTCATCAGTCTGCCTGTTCTGCTCCCCACTCTGTCTCTGGTGAATCC